GATGGTCTCGATCTCTTGACCTCGTGATCCACCCGCCTTGGCCTCCCAAAGTGCTGGGATTACAGGCTTGAGCCACCGAGCCCGGCCTGGAGGCTGATTTTTATGAATTACATCAGTGGACTCCCTTGCCTTCTGGCTTCTGGTTGGGTTTGGCTAATGGAGGTCAGAGGAAGAGGAAATAAGGTGATTTCCCTGGGTCCTCCCTGCAAGTAAGGTCACCTCAGGATAAAGTGTCCTTGATTGACATCAGTGTTTCTTCAGAGTATACATTTTCTCCTCATTTCAGGTTTCCCTCTTATTCATTTCTCTCTTTTTTTTTTTTTTTTTTTTCTGAGACAATCTTGCTCGATCTCCCAGGGTGGAGTGCAGTGGCATGATTTGGCTCACTACAACCTCTGCCTCCCAGGTTCAAGTGATTCTCGTGTCTCAACCTCCAGAGTAGCTGGGAATATAGGCATGTGCCACCATGCCTGGCTAATTTTTGTGTTTTTGGTAAAGATGAGGTTTCGCCATGTTGGCCAGGCTGATCTTGAACTCCTGGCCTCAAGTGATCCGCCCGCTTCAGCCTCCCAAGGTGCTGGGATTAAAGGTGTGAGACACTGCGCCCAGCCCCTCCTATTTCTTTCTTTATAGCCCAGGAGTTACTGCTTTTTCTCATGTAAATAGCTAAACTCGGGCCACACCTTTGTAAGTAGTCCCTTTGTTAAACTCTTCTGGGATTATTTTGAGTACAGTATGTCATTGATTTGCCTTAGATACAATGTCTCTGGTAGTCTGAATAATGGTCTCCAAAATATCCAGGTCCTAATCTGTGGAAGGTGAGAATGTTACCTTGTCTGGCAAAGGGACTTTGTAGACATGATTAAGTTAACCTTGAGATAGGAAGACTATCCTTAATTATTTGGTGGGCCCAATGTATTCACAGGGTCCTCACTAGAGGGAGGCGGAAGGATTTTAAGAGGAAATGACATGACAAAAGCAGAAAGAGCTTTGAAGATGCTGTGCTGCTGGCTTTGAAGACGGAGGAAGGGGCTGTGAGCTAAGGAATGCAAAGAATGTAGCTCTAGAGGCTGGAAAGAAGGGAGCGAGGCCTTGTTGTATACCTTGGTTTTGGCGCTACGAAATTATTTTGGACTTCTAGCCTTCACATTTCTGCTGTTTTAATCCACTAAATGTGTAGTAACTTCTTACAGCAGCCATAGGAAATTACTACAGTGCCCAAAATAGAACTTTTGATACTCTGTGCAAATTGGCTCCTTCCTGTCTTGTCCACTTGGTTGTTAAATTTTTTTAATTTTGGAGACAGAGCCTCTCTCTGTCACCCAGACTGGAGTGCAGTGGTGTGATTGATCTCAGCTCACTGCAACCTCCGCCTCCCAGGTTCAAGCAATTCTGCTGCCTCAGCCTCCCCAGTAGCTGGGATTACAGGTGCGTACCACCACACTCGGCTAAATTTTTGTGCTTTTAGTAGAGATGAGGTTTCACCATGTTGGCTAGGCTGGACTTGAACTCCTGACCTTAAGTGATTTGCCCTCCGCAGCCTCCCAAAGTTTTGGGATTATAGGTGTGAGCCACTGCGCCAGGCCACTTGGTTGTTTAAACAAGAGATTTTATTCTTCCATTTTCTGTATGCTTCACTTCCAATCCATCATCAAATTCTTTCAGTTCCATGCCCAAAAATATATCTTGAATATCTCTACTTCTCTTCTAAATTTTCTGGCACATGGCAGAAACACAATAACCATGTAAACAGTGGATGCATAACTGAATCTTCCTTACTTCCATTCCAGTCTAAGCTTCAATAATTAGTCAATCAACTGGCTTGTCTTGGTTATTTTCCCTTAGGCCTCCTACAATCTGTTCTTCACATTACAGGGAAATTAATCTTTTCAAAACTGTAAATTAAAGCAGATTATTCTGTAGCTTAATCCTTTTACTTATTTCCCAATGGACTTTGAGTCAAATTCAAATGCTTCATTGTGCACTACAAAGACCACCTATGTTTTGGAAGTTGCCTATCTCTCTATCTTCTTTTGCCTCTCTCTTGCATCCTAACAATGCTACAGCTTTTCCCCCGTCCCCCCCATCGCCTTTGGAGTTGAGACATAAGACATTTCCTTTGTTGAGAAAGGTCTTTGTTTAACTGGCATTTAAGATTTCATCTTAAAGATCACACCCTTAGCCAGGTGCGGTAGTTTACGCCCATAATTCCATTAGTTTGGGAGGTCCAGGAAGGCGAATCAATTGAGCTCACTTGAGCTCAAGAGTTCAAGACCAGCATAGGCAACATGGCGAAACCCCATCCAAAAAAACCAAAAATTAGCCTGGTTTGGGCACCTGTAGTTCCTAGCTTCTTAGGAGGCTGAGGTGGGAGGATCCCCTGGGGGAGGGGTGGGCAGAGGGAGGATGCAGTGAGCGGATCTCATCAGCAAGATCCCTTCTCAAAAAAAAAATCACGCCCCCCTGAGAGGCTTTCCTTTACCACTCAACTCCATCTTGATTACTCTGTCACAGCTCCCTATGTATTGCCTTTCCAGCGTAAATCGCAACTGTTTATCAGTGAATTCCATGACAGAAAGAACCTAGCCTTTGGTTTGGCACATAATCGTTAAATGAATCGAGTACTGTTATTTGGCTAGGCCGAAATTATTTTCCTTATCAGTTTGTGAGCAACTTGAAGGCAGAGTCCTGAATTATTTGTTTGTTGACCTCTAGGGGGGTTAGTCCAGTACATGGTCTAGAATTGCTCATATCTGCCTTTTCAAAAAAAAATCAAATACAAGGATAAAGATGTGGACAGGAGCGCAAGAAAGGGGGTAACGATGATGAGTAGTTTCACGGAAAAGTCAATCTAGAAGGAAACTTGAAAGACGAATTGCAGAAGACAGCCATTTCAAGTCATCAACAACAAGGCTGTACCTTCTCGCGAGACGTCAGAGGAGACGTCAAGAAACTGAACTAATGCTTCTCGCGAGAGGAAAGATTGACCGCTCGCAAGCGTACGGCAGCTGGTGCCCCGCCTTCCCTGGGCCCCACCCACTCCCTGTCCTCCCACCTCGAACCGGCCATTTGGGCGTGTGACGTCATGGCGCTGTGCGCGGCCGTGGCGGCGGCGGAGGGGGCGGGCCGGCGGCGCCGCGCAGGAGGAGGAAGTGCTGAGGTTGTTGCTTGCTCTGCGCCCAGCACTGGCTCTTGGGGCGCAGAGAGGGGCCGCGGTGTCTGCGGCTGCGTTGCGCTCCCTTGCAGTCCCCTCCATGTTCCCCGGCGCCACCGCTTCACTTCCTAAGGCCACCGCTTGCCCCGGGGTCTATGGAAGTAATGGAAGGACCCCTCAACCTGGTGAGTGTCCCACAGCGTTTGTCTTGGGTGCCTTCGCCTCAGGAGCCTGGCCCCGTCCCCGGCGCGTCGGCTAACCTTTGAGTCCGGGGGGTTTGGTTTGGCAGGGGTGGGCGGTTTGGCAGGGGTGGTCGCAGAGGCTCTGAGTGGGTGCTAGGCAGGCCCTGGCCGAACTGCGGCTCCAAGCCAGCCACTTCAGACTTTTTGCCCTCCTGGGGGATCCCCGGGAAGCTCCTGGCGCCCCCTGCCGCGGGGCCCTGGGCGAGGGGATGCCACCAGCTGGGGCTGCCACCTCCTCTCTGGCTGGGGGAAGTCCTCGTAACGCCACGTAGCCACCCTCCCTACAGCCTGGAGAGGCACTGAAGCCGGCCAAGGCAGAAATGATGTGTGATACTGATTTTAAGTTCAAGCGGGAGGGTCTAAGACGCCCCGCTTTGGAGAGAGAGGAATGAATAGCCTCCTCACCCGTCACTTCTCCCTCATTTCTTACATACATTCACATACATAAACTGAGTCTTCTCCCAACTATATTAGAGGCTGCTGGGGAAAAACACAGCCATTGTTGTTGATTGATGCCTAAATTGATAAATCTGAGCTAAAAAAAAAAATCCTGTTTTTAGCTCAGATTTATCAATTTAGGCATCATTAAAGTGTAATAGGTGTTCGCTGTTCTCACGAAAATGGCTGATAACCTGTTTACTTATGTTTTAAGGCGTTTCAGGTGTTGCAATTAGAAAAAAGCAGAACCCCACTAACACCAGGAAACACGAATTTTTTCCAGATTGGCCACATCATCTTTTAGTTTCTCAGAGAGGTTACCCATTTTGGATTCAAAAGTTAGATTACTAAGGTTGCACACAGGAAGAACTTTTAAGTCGCTGGTTTACAATTCATTTGCGCTGGTGGGATTGAAAAAAAGCACTGTAGAGGATTCTTTTCTCTCAGAACTCTGAGCCCTAGTAAAGCAGTAGAGCCTGGTGGCTTAAGATTATAGGTTCTGAAGCTATGCTACTTGGATTTGAATTCTAACCTTGTCACTTGATAGCTGTGTTACCTTGGGCGAACTACTTGACCTCACTCTACTTCAGATTTGTTGTCCAGATTAAAGGAGTAAATAGGTGTAAAGCACTTAGAACTGTAATAAGTACATAGGACAGTGTAAGAGCGATTATAACCAGACCATAAGCCCTTAATTTAAAACCTATTTGTAGAATAAAGGTTTGGACTTGAGCTTTAAAAGTGTAAGATTATTGGACCAAATCACTGGTGCCACGTTGGCTGCTGTGAGGAGCCCCTCCCAGTTTTAAGTTGGGCCTTGCCCCAGGTGGTAAGAGTTATTTACACTTAATAACTTTTACTTGTAGAATTGGACTATATTTGTGAGTTTCTTTCTCTTTTTTTTTTTTTGAGACGGAGTTTCGTTCTTGTCACCCAGGCTGGAGTGCAATGGCGCGATCTCGGCTCTCCGCAACCTCCGCCTCCTGGGTTCAGGCAATTCTCCTGCCTCAGCCTCCTGAGTAGCTGGGATTACAGGCACGCGCCACCATGCCCAGCTAATTTTTTTTTTTTTTTTTTTTTTTTGAGACGGAGTTTCGTTCTTGTCACCCAGGCTGGAGTGCAATGGCGCAATCTCGGCTCACCGCAACCTCCGCCTCCCGGGTTCAGGCAATTCTCCTGCCTCAGCCTCCTGAGTAGCTGGGATTACAGGCACACGCCACCATGCCCAGCTAATTTTTGTATTTTAAATAGAGACGGGGTTTCACCGTGTTAGCCAGGATGGTCTCAACCTTCTGACCTCGTGATTCACCCGCCTCAGCCTCCCAAAGTGCTGGGATTATAGGCGTGAGCCACCGCGCCTGGCAATTTATTTATTTTTAAGACTAGTCAAGTGCAGTAGTGAGAAGCAGGGAAAGAGTAGAAGAACAAGGAGTTCGATCTGTAACTGACTGAACAATCAATTGCGATAGCTCACTACCTTCGGACCAGCCACTTGTGAGTTTTTTTTCAAACTAGGAAACTGGCCAGGCACTGCGGCGTGGCTCATGCCTGTAATCCCAGCACTTTGGAATGCCAAGACGGGTGGATCAGGAGCTCAGGAGTTTTAACCAGCCTGGGCAACATGGTGAAACCTGGTCGCGACAAAACAATACAAAAATAACCTGGCGTGGTGGCGCCTGCCTACGGTCCCGGGAGGCTGAGGTGGGAGGATCACTTGAGTTCCGGAGGCGGAGGTTGCAGTAAGCTGAGATCGTGCCACCGCACTCCAGCCTGGGGGACAGAGTGACTCTGACTCATACCAGGGAACTGTCTTGCACTTTTCTTGTTTTCTTTTTTCTTTTTGTTTCTTTTTTTCTTTATCAACCCTTCTTGAATACTAAACTTTTCTTGTTTTAAGGCAACATGTAGTTTGCAATGAAATATGATGGATAGCTCAATACTGAAACTTTATAGGAGTGTTACTAGAAATAATCAGCTGTTTACAAAGTGCTTCAGAGTTCAGGTGTCCTTGCAAAATGACCATTGGTTCAGTTCCAGTAGTTTCACTTTATTTGACTGCAGCATAACCCCAGCCAACTGCCCGACGAGTGTGTGGTGGTTCGTGAGAGGACTGGAACTGGGTGACAGTTGCAGATGGAACTGCAGAATCACTACCAGTTTCGGAAAAATTAGTTAAATGGTGGCAAGACTGTTTAAATTCTCCTTTTTTTTTTTAATTTTAATTTTTATTTTTTTTTGAGACGGGGTTTTGCCCTTTTTACCCAGGCCTGAGTGCAATGGCACGATCTCGGCTCAGGCGACCTGGCAGTTCTCCTACCTCAGCCTCCCGAGTAGCTGGGACTACAGGCCGTGCCACATGCCCAGCTAATTTTTATGTTTTTAGTAGAGACGGGGTTTCACCATTATTGACCAAGATGATCTCGATCTCTTGACCTTGTGATCCACCCGCCTCGGTCTCCCAAAGTGCTGTGCTTATAGGCATGAGCCACCGCGCCTGGGCAGCATTTTTTTTTTTTTTTTTAAATACTCAGAATTGCTAATGCATTAAGCTTTGTCTAATGACATCATAGTGTATTCCAAATTCATTGTATATAAGGACTCATGGTACATAGATTTGTAATCATGTGTCCTCAGAGCATCCTGGGAACTTAGTAAGATGTGTTTTCCAGTTTTACAGATAAATAAGCCTAAACTGAGAGAATTAGGTAATTACTTAGGTCAGTGACTTAAATACATTATGAATCACGACTTATTTTGATATCAAGACCTCTTGATAGTAATACTGCCATACTGTACTCATGTTCATTTCAATGTGGTTCTCATCTATTATTGAACTGTAGATTCTGTTAGCATTTAGTACCTCTGCTCCAGTATTGATCCTCAGAAATTCCTCACAGTGAATTTTTTTTTTTTTTTTTTGGACAGAGTTTCGCTCTTGTTACCCAGGCTGGAGTGCAATGGTGCGATCTCGGCTCACCGCAGCCTCCGCCTCCTGGGTTCAGGCAATTCTCCTGCCTCA